GAGCATTTTGGTTATTCAGAAGAAGTTGTTTAAAGGTTTTTTAATACAATTGACCCCTGTGACCTTGAATATAATTGAAGGTCATTCATTTGAACAAACTTGGTAGCCCTTCACCCAAGCATGCTACTGGCCAAATATCATCTCCCTGGGCATTTTGGTTATTGAGAAGAAGATGTTTAAAGTTTTTGACATATTTGACCCCTGTGACCTTGAAAATAGGTGAAGGTCATTTATTTGAACAAACTTTGTAGCCCTTCATCCAAGTTTGCTTCTGGCCAAATATTGACACCCTAGGCCTTTCGGTTATTAAGAAGAAGTCGTTTAAAGTAAAATATTGACGCCGGACGACGGACGGACGGACGACGGACGCCGCGCCACGGCATAAGCTCACTTGGCACTTCGTGCCAGGTGAGCTAAAAACATGTTTAAATCCAGATGATCAATAACATACTTCTAATAATAAAAATTTAATAGATGATGGTCCAAATGAACTTTTGTTTGTAAAATATTTCAAGTTTAAAAGTAAAACGTCAGCGACACTTGGAGCATCTGACCTTATTTTACAGACGTCACAGCCCAACCACGAAGACAAGCTTGCATGATAGCAAGATAAAGAGGCCTCTTGGATATATATTTTTTGTGGTGAACCAAAGCACACTTTCAAAAGAAACTCACAGCGATCTTCAGGAAGTAGTTGGACTTCCATGTTGCTTTATCTTCCTTGACCATCTTGACTGTGGTTCAGGGATAGCCGGTCTGCCGTTTAAAGATAAAGCCCTGAAAAAAACAGATAATTACAATTAATGTCATCACAAATGAACGTTATCAACTTATCAGATATAATATTGTGGACTTATCCGAGATTTTATTTCAACAGCATATTTTTATTTCAGATGCTCTGGCATTAACTCATTCATCCCTGAAGTTTCATAATGGAACTTTTCCAACCTTTGAATTGGAAGAGTTTAAATGTGTCTTCAAGGGTGAATGAGTTAAGAAACATGTTTAAAGTGCACCGTACCTGGTGTGCAAAAATTCAGAGATGATATATATATAGAGGACATTCTTATCCCCTCATCATTTCTTTTGAAAGAGGATATAATCTATTTTTTTTACATGAAAATACATGCCTTTTTAATTTTGTGTTTAGTAGATCCCTTTTGCCCTGAATCCTGTTTGACCCTGGTCGTTTTGCCCAAAAATTATCTTAAAGGGCAAATTATTTCAAGTCTTTATTATTGTATCTAGCAGGTCCAGTACACTCTGCCGATTGAGCTATATAGCTATATACACCTATAAATTATGGCTGTATTGAGCTATATTTTCTCGGATTTCAAATTTCATTAAATTAAAGCAAAGTCGCATAAAACAATAAGGTTTATGGTAATGTTGACTACAAAGAGCATAAAGTTAGATGTTTATTTTCATTTTTCATCAATGTAAAATTTCCGATTTTTTTACATCATTATTTTTTAAAAAGAATACTTATATTTAATGTCTTTTGTTATCAACCTAATGATACAATCTTCTTTTAAAAGCGACTTTGTTTCGTTTTCTTTAAAAAAAGAAAATCACTTGAAAATAACTCAAAGACCTATTTCAGATAGGTCAATAGAGCTATTATAGGTCTTTACAGCTATATAGCTTAATCGGCAGAGTGTACTGGACCTGTCTAGTACGGCTTACAGATTAATAGCAAATTCCAAGTGCATCTTTATTATGTATTGCTTCTTTATTCCTAATTACTCCATATTTTTCGTTGCTTATATGCTAGCCGGCGTTCTTGGAACTACGGACGGTATACCCCTACCCAACTACAGGCATATTACGCTCGAATCATTTCGAAATGGGCGGTCGGGACCCATGACAGTTCGCATTAAGATGCGATTATGAACTAAAGATCCACACCCTATCCACGAGCACCAGCGTCTGGTTACATTTACGGCGATACTGCCAAGGGCCGTCGAACAGCATCAACTTGCAGGTAGACTTGTGTGGCGTGGCTTCCACATAAGTTCGTTAAAAACAGTTAAAAAAGTTAAAACTATTTACAGGATCCACATTCACTCTGCAAGATGACTGTGGAGCGAGGTCTGTCTGGTTAGCAAATGTATGAAAGTAATCTTCCATATTCTACTAATTCATAAGAGACATTGCATTATCTTCATCATGGTGAAGGAGGCAATTATATGGCAGAAACATGTCCCCGCGCCCTACCTAACCCACGTGGAGCAGACAAAATGGTAGTCGCGCCACCATCATGTGGCACCTGGAATATGGTTCTTATCAGTAAATAAGCCGTCCTTTTCAAACTGGATAACTTCAAAACCATGTTAATGGAAGTTCGTGAATATGTTTAACATAAAAAAATCTCTGTTAATAAGGTAATATTCATAAGAAAGTGTAAATCCTCTCAGCTGAAGAAAAACGTGCTCACCGATGTTTCACAATCACGAGAAAGAGGCTGATCACATGGGTTTAAGAATGACATTACAATATCCGGAATGTCGGTTAAAAGACAAACGAAACGAACTAAATCTCGATACTACACATGGCCGCAATAGAAAAAAAGGGCGTACATCTCACGTTATCTGACACACAAGATATCTCATAAGTAATATCTGATCTCTAGCAAAGAATAACAATGGTATCATGTAGCGATTCTTACGTAAAATAATATCGAAACTAACTTGAGTTACCTCCCGTTGTCCCAAGGCTACAGAATCAGTATCAAAGAAGCGAAAGATTATTTTCTCCCATCTTTGAGATCGAGAAAATAATGAAAATCACTTACTTCTTTTGTGGATATTGAATACATTTTTTTTAAAGTACGGTTAATATAAGAGTGAATTACAAATTTTAATATAGTTAATTGTATTGTATAAAACTATTGAACTATTATTATGGCTTAAAGCACTCTTAAAATATTGGCTGAAGTTCACTTTTTTAAAGATGGAACTACTATTAGTTATTACACGTAACAATACTGCTTTTTTACTTAAAATGATTCGAAATATAGTATAGAATTTTATTTGCAAATATGAGACTTATATGTTGACATTCACAAAAAAAAATCAAAAGAAATCAATGTTTGCCCGCAGGGATGATTTGGAGTTGTGTTAAGTCCTTATTGAATGGCTCAGTTATCAACTCATTTCTGTAACATTTGAAATAGCATTCATGTAAATCTAGCATGACAAACTAAGTTATAAAGAAGGTTTAATTAGTGTGAATTCTCAAAAACATATTTTTCTTTTGCTATACCTTTACACATTATTATCTCCCCTTACACACATATATAATGTGGCCAAGTTACCGTCATATCTGTTCCCCTAATAAAACCACGTATCCGTCACCATGAATACTTTTCTACATATGATAAATCTTTTTCTCGTATCTAACTGTTTTTACCATATATACCCAGTTTTCCATGATTCCATGATTCCATTTTTAATTGACTGTATCTCCATTACACATATCCCCCCTCCTTAAGTCCATCATATTGTGCCTCGTTGTTTTGTTGTCACTACCACAGTTCTTGTAACGAGGACGTGGCATTATTTGGATTTGAAATATATTAGAAGGCGCTTATCCTTCCGGAACCCCTGGTCTTTTTCTCCTTGTGCCTCTTCAAGGGTCGCCATGTAAATCTTTCCTATTTTCCTAGTTTGTCCTTTGCTTTATCGATTTTGAGATCGAAGTACGGGTTCGTTGTCACTACAGTATACATTTTTTTACCACCAGTCAATAATCTTCAGTCTACAAAGATACATATCTCTTCTATATCGCTTTTTGTCGTGTTTGCATCATTGAGCTTTTTTTCACCTATTCTCCTAAAACTATCTGCTTTCCTTATCCATCCCCATTCTGTTTCCTTTTCTTCCATGTTGCTTTTTTTTTTAGGATAAAGCATTATGGCGAACTAGCTCGATACGATCTAACCCTTTATCTTGACGCATTTTCATGCCGATCTTTCAATCTTTGGATAAACTTCAGTACTTTAATTGTGCCTGCAAAACTCCAATTAATGTTTACCCTTCCTTGTACGGTATTTGAAAAACAGGTCAATGATAATTAAAAAAAGATGGCATTTCTTGACGCATTGCAATCGCTGGCCTTTCTTGATTTCTCGACAACCATTGTCTGTTATCAATGCTCCTCTGGGGTTAAAGGTATTACACCCAGGTCTCATCCCCTTTAAATAACCCAGATAGCTTTCCTGAGTCGCAATTACCGTACGTTTTCCTTATATATTCTGAGCACATTTTAAACGTTTGGCTTTTTTTCTAAACATTCTTCAGGTTGGTAAGTCTGGATTATGCAAAGTTCTTTTTACACAACCAATAAGAATTTCTATGTGACGTTTCGATGACCAGTACGGTATGTAAACTGTCACCTTTACCAGCCAAATGACCAGTGAAGCGTATGCACGCAAATGTGTAAAATGTGTACAAGTTGTACACAAAATCGATGTCGATTCGATTACTCTGTAAGCGTATACACAATAGTTGTTTTATATGTACCGAAATGACTCGATTCAGCGATTCAGATGTCAGCAAATGGGGGACCATCGGGCATACAGCTTTTTTTTTAATTTATTTCAAGCACTTGGCCAGACTGTGATGTGTACTGCCTTCTGAAATGCCAGCCATATGAGCTATCTCAGAAGCATCTTCATTGATGCTGCAACAACTGACCTGCCTGGCCCTGTGTCCTCTTTGATGTCAACTTTAACATTCTTGAATTTGTTCACCCACCTGAAAACAGTTCTCAGTGTGACAACAGGTGTGCCTTTTGTGTTGCACAACTCTGCATGCATCTGTTTTGGCGGTATCTGTAAAGCACATCGTGCTTTATTATAGGAGCGTATTTCAGATTTAGTCTCAACCTTCATGTTAGCATTGAAAAGTAGCCACTTGTCACGACTACAAACCATTCAACAATGAATAACTTGTTCTATTGTTTTTGGATAATGGCGAAATTAAACGATTGTATTGCCAGCTCGTATGGGAGCGTTGTGCTGCCAGAATTTATTGAATGGCCTTCGGATATAATTCTGTATCATGTTTCTTATTTAGAACGTTATCTTGTTGCATTAAAAGATGAGCGTTACACACACACACACACACACACACGCACACACCACACACACACACACAAACACACACACACACACACACACACACACACACACACAGAGGTGATTGTACCTTAAAACATTGGTAAATTCAGTATGCCAGAAATGAATTACACTTCATCATTTATACAACTGTTTTGTCTATTTAGGTCTCATCCATGATGTGAGGGGCCAAAAAGTTGGAAACCCAAATTGGTCTCAATAGCTGTTGAAAAAGAATTGGAGGTGCATACAAACCCTCAATGTGTTAGTTAATTTAACTTCAAATTGCATTACGAGTAATTTATGTATATTATGAACCGTGTCACTACACGAAAAAATATCACTGCATGTGGCTATCGAGGTTACGGCGAACTCGCAGAGACTAAGAAATCCACCAGCAGCGTCTACCCCATTATATCTGGAAAGAGGAAAGTAACACGCACAAACACACAGGCGATTACATCTTGGTAATAAATACGGTGCAATATGAGAAATCGATTTCTCCCTAAGCAGCATACTGAGTTTCGGAATGTTCGATATAACCAAAAATACATTTCTAAAGAACAACTACCATACATAAAAAACGTAGCCCTTTCAAAACACTTCTCGATATCATCTGTCAAGAAAAATCAATTTTGATACGACGAGAAAACAGCCACAGAATGCCAAAGTGCCAAAAAAACATAATTCGAACTCACAACTGACACAACCAGGGGAAATATGAACACGGAATGATTTACACGGAGACCACGTAAAAAAGACCAGGTATCCCAGAAGGGTAAGCGTCTTATGTTTTGATATCTTATATAAAATATACATACAAATTAGATATTATATTAAATATGTTTGAAATATCATATGAACTATCTTACCTTATAAATGATATCATTTTTGCTTTAAATCTTGTGTTTTGAAAACATATACGATACCTTTAATTATTATATAAGATGTCTTAAATAATATAAACGATTTCTGCTACAAGTATATTATATAATATATCTTATAAAATTTATAAAATCTAAAATCTGAAATAATTCTTAAAAAAATGTGACTTTCCATTGTTTTGACCATTTATATTTACGCTTTTTGAGGTATATCAATGTACGGAAGAAGTCATCATACATTCTCTCTATAAGGTAAATGATAAATAATAAAATGTGCAGCATTTACGAGTAGCTTCCCCTTGTAGGATTCCATTTAAACATCGATATCAATCTTTAGTTGCTAGGATTAGGCATATGTCATTTAATGGAAAGCCATATACATTTACACTCCTTTTTTAATTATTCCACGTGAAAGCTTTTATTCATTTTTTCCCCATCAGGAAGAAACACAATATCCTGTCGACTTTTTATGCTCCTACATCAGATCGATGAAAGAGTGTCTTTGAACTAGCATACAGTAACGTAAAACTCCGACCATATACACCCGTTCGTGACCTGCACTCGAGGATTACCTAAACGTGTAATGGACTCGTCCAGGTTTTAATCAAGTATTTAAAGGTATATCTGAGATATAAGCCTACCTGAATATACAGGTGTTAAAAGTTGTACGACTACCTGTATAAAATCTACCTGGAATATTTCAAAAAGTGAACGTAATACCACACGTAGGTTTGTGTATAGGGTTAGGGATCTAAATCCGATGTTTTGTGATCTGACCAGCAGGATATATAAGGATTCCGTGCTTTATGAATGTCACTAGTCCGTTACGTCTCTATTCGACAACTCCAGGACAGTGTGACGTATTTTACCTATGTAGGAGGTGTAGATATATATATATACGTATATAATATGTAACAAGCCGTGTACCGTTATTTATTCGTGTTCATTTAAATTATACTCAAATATGTTAAAGTGTTAGTCGTTGCTGTTAGATTTGAAAATCGATTCGGTCTGGGAATATACATTATAACGTGGATTGGATTTACAATTCTGCACTATTGTCCTTGGATTATATTCTCGTATGTGGATTTTACGATAAAGTGGTACAGTGAATAGTATAATACAATACAGTCTTTTATAAGTACTGTATACACAGTAAACTGATATTATTTATTACAATGTTGTGAACTATCAGAGTAGAACATTTAAAAGATTAGTCAAAATGGGATCGGGAGGAAGCAAAAAGGAGGAAAGCAAACAGACAACACCGACGAAAACGTCCACGACGACGACGACGAAAACGCCAATGATAAAAAATGACACTGACAACAGGAGTTCGTCGTTACATAAACAAAATTCAACAAACGAAATTCAATATCCTAACAATAACAGGACACAATTTGATAATAACCAAACAATACAGAATAACAATGTTCAGAAATCCTCGCATGCACCTCCATCGCAGTGGAACAAAAAGGAGGACATTGATGACGTTTTAAACCTTGATTCCGAATGGAGTTCTAAAAACAAACGGCAAGAAGTGTATCCTACTCCGCGGTCTGATCGGGGAGGAAGTCGGCGGGACGAGGAACGAAATGTTTATAACAGACAAGTGAACAATAACACGGTGATTGAGGAATATCCTGAAACTTACGCCCAGCGAAACGCTCGACAGCAGTACAAACGTAGTGATCTCCTCCGACAGAAAACCATATACAGAGACCCTAAGGAATGGGAGCCAGAGACGGAAACAAAGGTAACAATACAAAGGGCTATAGTCGGTGTTAGTAGATAAGTAGATTAGAAATAGAAGGGTAGACAAGGTCACACAGCTGTTTCCTAAACATATATATATTAAATAAGATATACTATTATAAACATATATAAAGTAAGATATATAAGTATATATATAATAAGTCCGCATGAAGAAGCCGAAGAAGGCAAGAAGGCCTAGCGGCCAGTCTTATTATTTCATTCTATAAAATAAGATAGTTAAACATATAATGCTAAATACTCTCCTTAGGTCTGTTAGTTTTCTCCAGGTAATCCGGCTTTCGACCATCCCCAAAACCTGGCTCGTCCTGAAATGACCATAGCTGTTAATAAGACGTAAATCACAAATAAACAGCAAACAAACATATATCAACTATGACGTATACCTATATTTCATAATAGTAGAAAATAAAGCAACATGTCTGTGGGAAGGAAAATATGAAACAATAACAAACATTTCAAAACTGATTGCTGGGCCTGCCTTGAGCTTCTTAAGGCGGTAGATGGTACTTATATTTTCAGTCCGACTCAAGAAACTCGAGAAGGCAGAATATCTAGCAGTCGGTCTTATGTATTTGTTATTTTAGTTGATATAAACACATTCACATAAGTATAATATACAAAGAATAGTCGAGAAACGGGGATTTATCAACATTGGCCGAGTGACTTGACATTACACCTGGTTGATATCTGTATCAGATATGCAGTAACATGGGCAATGGTAAAACTGTTACAGGAATGCATTGACAAAGCGAAGGGTCAATATTGCTGTCGGACATATATACATGGTAATAAAAGAGGTATTAGAGCTTAAGAGACGAACACAGACGGAAGAAACAATAGGCATTCCTTTTTTTCTCGGGATGAGAATTGGACTAATGGGATGCCTGGGTAGTGGGTGGGTGGTATATTGTGGAGTAGACAAACACTGGCTTGATCAATAATTGTATCAATATGGGATTCGATCCAAGCCATAAAAGATATCAGACGTAGACGCATAACATACATCATTAAATTACAATTTTGTTATTACAGGCAGCATCAGTTGTGTAAAGTCAAGCTTCATCAGCTTAACGACAGATAACACTTCGTAAAATATAATCATTGATTTGGCGTAAAAGCTAACCAGACCTTTACACTGTTAGACCTTGTAAGTTGTGAGAACTTGTACCCATTTTGTCTGATTGCTATCGATGTAAATAAATATAATGTTTATGAATGAATGAATTGTAACATCAGTTGTCTAAAGTAAAGCCTCATCAGCTTAACGACAGAAAATATCTCATAAAATATATTCATTGATTTGGAGTTAAAACTAACCAGACCTTTAAAATGTGAGTTGTAACAACTTGCACCCATTTTTTTCCCCTAATCAATACTAGTATTTATCAATAAAATGTTCATGCATAAGCTATCAGGCCCTGATATGGCCTTTAATAAAACACGTATCTAGAAAATTATTTGATTTTTTTCTTAAGATTGACTTCAGCATATGATTAACATAACGGATACAGCAGCTGCATTTTACTACGTATTGCAACAGCTGCATTAAGTATCATTGCTCGACAGTTTAAGGTTTTTCCGTTCGGTATTACAAATAATTATAATACATTAAACATTCTTCTAAAACTAGCTAACGGCATTATATATCAACTAAGTTTTTTTCTCTCATAAAGTCTTTAAACAGAACAACCGAAAAACCTTCACGATGTATTTCGCCAAATCCAGAACGTACGATCGCCACCAATCTGAGACACGGTGAACAGGTGTTAATCATGGTATGCCCTGAAATCTTCTAGTTGGAATGAAATTTAAGATGTCGATCGTAGCAAATTAAAATCAAGGATCCCTGTTCCACTGCCAAAAACCGTAAATATGCAAAGGAAACAGTTTTTTAAGACTTTGATATATTTCTGAAAAGAAAGCCATACCATGCAGGACTAGTATGACAAAATGAAAGATGAAAATAAAACTCACCAAAATATAATCAACAACAGTGTTTTGAGTGTAAAAATTCAGCGGGGCTAGAGATTCGAACCCTGGACCACAAATTATTCCTCATATTTGTTATTATTTGAAATAAAATGGCAAAGCTCCAGGTAGATATCGTGGATTGCAACTTAAGGAGTGTCATTTAAATTGATATGTACAAATGTGATACTTATACCAATGGAATAGTTTAAAACCGATTAATGTGCATTACTGTTATTTAAATGCATGTATACGTGTATAACAATGGTTAAAAGTAGAGAGTAATATATACATCTATGTACGTCAGACAAAATACATCTAGGTCATTAAACTACTAATGAATGTCTTTTAGAAATGTATTAATTGCCAAACACTTTAAATTGTTTTAATGAATGACAGGTTAATCTGAGTACTGAAACGAGTTAAGAGGATATTTACGTATAAACCTTAATGTATACAATTTTAGTATGCATTCATATGTGCCTTTTGAACAGATTATACGATAGATCGATTTAGGACGATTTTAGCTAATGGCTACACTGTCAAATACCAATCCTAGTATAACTAAGTTATAACATGGATTGAACATTTAAAGTCATCCGAATAAAGTATTTTTTTCAAGTTACGTTTTTGTGACTCCTAGTTGGCAAATGTTGTTTATTTCAATATTGTAACGATGCGGTGATCTGTCGATAAAAATAAATAAATACAGAAGTGACTTTTGGAAGAAAAAAATAAAAAATAAATAAAAAATCTTCAAGTACTAACTACTTTGTACAATAGGATATTCTTATTTCTGTGAAGCCCACCAAGAATAATACTTACACAATACATATCCAGCACACACGCAGGCATACACACATAAGGAGATATTAGCCAGATGGCATATGACTAATAGTTAGCGACTGATAAGGCATCTCCTCCGAATTCATAAAAATATAAATTGATTAATGTTTATGCTAATTTTATTAATTGTATTTCTATGTACTTTAAAGCGCTTTAGAGTGGCTTATTCTAGCTAGATAGGGCGCTATATCAAATGTTGTATATAATTATTATTAATGATCAACAATACAGTATATATATATATATATATTTCTGAATATTAATAAAGATAAATCACGGAAAGTTTAGTCTATATGTCTATACGATGCCATAAAATGCTTTCTTTGTGTGTCTGTCTACATTAAAAAAAAATCTGATATCCCGTCTTTGCGTCTTGCAGAGTTATTTCTCTTGTGAGCAGGTATTGATTGTTACGTCATTGATTTGTGCAAGAAAATAACGTCGTTTTCTCAAAAAATGATGACGTTACTCTCACAAACAAATGACGTAACAATCAATATCTGCTATCAGGGGCAGATAATTTTGCAATAAGAAAAGATGGAATAGGTGCTTGCATAGTATTTCTAGTAATTATTCTCTCTACTTGTATAATATGTTATTTGGTATTGTGCAAATTATTATTATATTATTATATATATAATTATTATACAAAATCAGGCAACAAGTATTTCCCTGACAGGTTTGCTACTACAGTTAACTAATGTGTAATGATTTGTACATCAAATTATATAGTAAAAATCCCTCTAGACAGGCAATAGATGTATATGATGTGACCTATTTATCATTACATACTTACTAATAAATACGTGTTTGTTTTGGTATATGCGATACGATACAATTGCTCTAACCCATATCAGCTCTCGCCGTATCACACCCCAAAACTCGTATCAGCCCGAAAAAACCAGTATCACACCCCTTTTGAAAAGTGTTCGTTTTTCAATATTTCAAAAGAAAAAGAGATAATAAGATAGTAGATCATTCCGTATTTTATTAGTAAGTATGTAATAAACAGAATAAAACATGCCTTTTTCCATATCACACCCAGTATCAACCCTCGACCAATATCAGCCCTCAGGTCTTCGGCCCTCGGGCTGATAATGGAATCTTGGGTTGATACTGGTTGTGATATGAAAAAAGACATGTATTATTCTCTATATATTATCATATTATCGAAGCATAGTCGAACACAACAACACATACCTAATACCAAGGTATTTTTGTATGTATACATATCTGAACGATACGCAAGATTCAGAGATTGAACTATGAGTATGACAATTTCAAATTTGGAAACTTGATAACAAACGTACGTGACTGTATACTTGAACATTGCATGTGTTTGATATATTCTAATCTTACTTACTGTGTATGTAAAATATACCACACATCTTTATTACGTCTTCTCATATGTACGTAAATCTACCAGGCTATTGTATACCAGTACAATACACCATGAACTGGCGTATACAGTCTTCTATAGACAAGCAAATGCTATTGAGAAGAAACAAAAGGCACATTCTCAACCTGCCCCCAATACAAGGTTAAACACAATGTAGAGCATTTGTTATACGAATCCACTGTAAAGGCAGTGAACTGTTCTAGATTGATATCACCCCTTTTGTCTGCTGTATGGGATTGTAAGATTAGGTTGAACTTTTGACCTCAGTCAAATGTATAGGGTGCCTAAGTGCCAACAATATATATACGTAATACGTTTAAGGCCATGCAGTAGGCACCAAAGATAAAAAAGACGGTTAAATTCGTTTATTAATATTAAAACAAAATTGATCACATTTTTTATATAACAAATGTAATGTCATTTATATAAAGAAAATATTAATAGAATGTTGAAAGTAATAGCATTAACTTAAATAAGAACTGATAGAAAATCATCGTTAAAATACGAATTAATGAGGTACTAGTATCTTGTATTAATGCGTAGATCCATTCAGAAAACCAAACAAGTTAACACAACAAAGCAACATACACCATATGGCTATTAGTTTAGTATTGTTTAACGTCCTATCAACAGCTATGGTCATTTAAGGACGGCCTCCCATGTGTGCAAGATTGCATGCGTGTAGTGTATATGTTCATGTTTGTCTCCTTGTGATAGCGCGGAACTGATGCCGACTTTATAATGCGACCTCATTGAAACATACTGCC